TTTTTGAAATATGAAATATATCGTGGCAACTAATACAATGTCGAACACCTGGAAAATACTTTAATAATACAAGCAAGCTTTTAGATATTTGCAAACCCATCCCGTTATAAAAAAAAGAAAAATATATTCAGATATTCTGTGGTAACAATTCAAAAGTAAAATATGTCAATTTTAAATAAAATTTTTATATGTGTATGACTATTTTAGTAAATACCATTTTAATTTTTTGTTATTTATCACGGCCTACTAATAAGAAAATTACATATTTTAAATATTGCAGGAAATAGTCAAAATAAATACAGAGTGATATATGTGTTCCATTTGAAAAAACATAACTTTAGTTCATATTTTCAAAAATATTTTTTTCGTAGAAAACCAGACGACGCCACTGTATTCTACGTAAAAAGTCCTACAAGAATCAGTGTTCACTTTCTCGATATCATCCATAATAAAGAAGATACGGGGGCTGTCCCAAGTTGCAAAATTTTCGAAAAGACCCTGTAGCTGAGAAACGAAGAGAGCTTTGAAAATTTTGTTGACAGTATCTTCCGTTTGACAAAAAATTGGCAAAGGTTTGTGCAAACCGCACCCTTCTATCTTCACGAATAACGGAGATACCGTATGATTTCAACTAAAATGGGACACCCTGTACAGTAAAATTTTCCACGAACTTATTTTGCTTGTTTGTTCCTATCGGCTTCCCCTAGGAGATGCAAGACCTTGTCGTTGGTGGGGAAGCTCCTGATCAGGTGCTGGGGGGAATACCCCTAGCACTTGGCTTGGTCTAAGAAGCATCTCACTCACCGTCTTGTCCCTGACTGTAGTGTCGTGGCCTGGGAATTGCACCAAGACATATAACGATACCGGGCGGGGCTACGGACAGCCTCAATCTTAGGGCACCGGGGAGCACCCCATTGTATTTTGCCGCTTACTTCTACATGCGGGGCTCTGTAGAAGAGGACCGACTGTCCCTAGCGACTCATAGGAACACTATGAGATCTGGTAATAATAGTAATAAAAACATCACCGGTGAAGCTGTGGGGAAACCCCCTAGCGACACTGGGAACAGTAACAATGAATGTTCCAAGGAGCCAAACCCAAAGAGAACTACAGGAGAGGTGGCTGGCACTTGCGTGAGACCATCCTCCGCAAGTGGCATACAAGCTACCACCTCCTCCAAGGGTCGGGAGCCTACCTCCTACCTCTAAACCCAACAGGCGACACAAGCTACCGTTTCGTCTACCCGGCCTGGGTCGTAGCTCCTCGACTGTGAGGGACATGGGTCTCCGTAGGTAGTCCTGGGACTGTATGATCAGTTATAACTCAAGAAAGGGGGACACAATAGATCTCTAAGGTCGCAGAGATTAACCCCTCCCACTTATTCTAAATTCTGTTCCTATCGGCAGAAGTAAACAAAACATTCTGTGAAAAATAATGAGCGACAATTGTCGAATCTACTTTCCGTAGATTGTCTGGCTGGGCATTATTATAATCGGGCTCTGTCATAATTCAACAAACTAAAACACCTAATGACATCTAAATAAAATAAATACTAAATAAATTAATTTATTTAGATCTTAGATGTCATTGGGGAACACCTTATTTAAATGAAATGCGTTCGCTGTTGGAAGAAAATTTTAACACTTATGACGTCAGACTTCGGTTTTGCGCCAAGCGAATTTTAATAATTGATTTAAGTACTTTCCAGATGGAATTTGTACAAACTGATTTTACATGTATGTTGTAGGTGAAAATGTATTAGAAATCATAAATATTTGAATTTTACCCGACACGTGCAAGGACCCCATTATAATAATTAAGGATGTAATTAATTAATATTCGGGCAGAAATAATGGTGGTATATTTAATTGGAATACTTTTTTACAAAAGAACCAATGAGCTAGTAATATTATCAGGTTTTTGTACATTTTGTACATTTTTTGCTTTAAAGAAATATCTAAAATGTCTATATTCCAGGGGTATATTGATAAATGAGGTCTAAATTATAAGAAAATGCATTTTCTACGAAAACTTGAAGAAATAACTAAAAAATGGTATAATACAATTTGATAAGCAATTAATTGTGTTATCTGATTTACGTAAAATATGCAGGGTGTATCATTTAAATTAAACAAGTTTTACCGTTTAAAACTAGTCATTATTTAATCAACATTTTAGACACACTGTATAGGGTAGTATTATTTTTATTATTGCAGCACAAAATTTAATAAATAGAAAAACTCAGTGCAATGTTTTTGATTTTAAAAACATAAATAGGTCTAGAGAAATGAAACATTGAAATTGTTACAGCATTTTCACAAAATCATAAATATTTCAAAAACGGTAAGATTAAACTGCGGTAAACCTTCAATCAAATTTACCATTATTTTAATCATAGAAACTAAAAATGTTAAAATATACAGGGTGTTCGACTTAAAAAAAACTGCAACCAACTTTGATATTTTTTCTTTATTTGGGACACTTTCCTTTAGTAGTCCTCCAACGATCCCAGCACTCACAATCTCTATAAATCCAATCAAGTAGTTCTTCAATCAAAGTGCTTTTTTGGGACGCCCTGTATACAACAAAAAAAAATTCGTACGTTCATAGATCATGCAATATTTATATCAAACTTTTTTTCATATATTCGTCAACAACGACGATAACTTAAGTTAATTTTGGCACCACAAAGCTCACGATGGCGTTAAAAATTCATCACGCCTGTCTTTCTCTTCTTATTAGCTGCTAATGTGCGTTGCACCTTCCATTGTTTTCCCATGAAACTCGCAATGGATGGTAATCTCTAAAATAATCATCCAATTTACCAACAGCAGGAAACATTTTTTTTGCTCCGAGTTTTGTTCCTTGCCATTATTTCTTTCTTCTTCTTTATACCAGTTTTTTTTTCAATCTTCTTGGCCATTTTTGTGCAAAACCGTAATCAGCGTAGAATTCTGTTATATTTTCTTTTTATTTCAAATCATAATTATTATTGACTTACTTATTAATTTGAATTTTTGAAAACCCCGGTCTTTACGTAATCATTGCGTAGCAATATGATTGAAAATGTGTAATAAGCAATATCATTGTGAATTTGAACTAAAAAATATTTTCTACGCACTTTTTTAAACTAAACAAAACATAAGTTAGTTAAAACAGAAGATTTTAGAAAAAAAATGAGTTTTTAATTTTTTTCATATTGTTCCACCACTTCAAAAAATTCTAAAAAATTCCTGAGTGCAAAGAAGTATAAGACATTTTCTAACGATTTTTAGTGAGTGACATTTCACAAAGGTTAAAAAATGAAGATTTTAATTTTCTTTCCTCCGCTAAAAATCGGCTTTTCGTTTAAGAATCATGATCATATTATTTTTTCATGTCTTAGATTTCTAAGAATTAGAAAAAAAAATCATCATTAGGTAATTAGTTTTGGATTTTACAATAAAAATAAAAATAAAATTGAAAAAAACAGGGTTTTTTAAAATTTCGAAAACCGTTTGAGTTAAAGAGCTAAAAATTTAGGTGAATTATTTTGATTCGACACCAAATCGATCTCCTGAGTGCGAGTCAAAAAAGCCGCGGGGTAGATTTACCATATTAATCCGGCTACGAGGGGTAAACCGCGAGACCAATGCGGTGTACAACTGATTAAGTGACAATGCTAACAAATGAAGGAAATTGATCAATTTTGCAGAGCCAATGAAACCAATTAAGGGGAAATTGACAAATTTTGCAAAGCCAATGAAGCCAATTAAGGGGAAGTTAGGGACCAATTATGAACCAATTAATGGCTAATGTAAAATTATGTTAGTAAAAACTACGCGCTATCGAGTCCGCAAATCTAGCCGAGTCGACGACAGGGTTGCCAGATTGGACCCTTAAGCGCCATTTAGGATATTTTTAATGATTAGTTGACGTTAGCACAAGAAAGAGAGTACTACGCAGAATAGCTGGAAAGACGCTTCTGGACAGGGAGAGAAATGAAAGCATAAGAAGAGCGTACTTAGGTTTGGTTTGGTTTGGTTTGGAGCGATAACTTGAGACGACGAAACCAAACAGGCGATTCGCCTAGTATGAAGGAGGAAGAAAAAGAAGAAGAGGCACAAGAAAAATAATTATTTATTGAAGTTATTTCAGTGGCGTGAATACCAAATAATGGTTTCCGTTAAATACCTTAAACTCGTAAGGTCCGTTTGACACGAGCAAAAATTATGGCGAAAATCATTAAGTAAATATTTCAAAAATCTGGTCGTTAAAATTTTTTGAGGTTGTTTTACTGAGTCTTAGTTACGCTATATATTCTAGTTTTAATTACAAAAGCCCTGGAGAATATTCTGAAAGCGAAGCAAAGGAACCTACTTCAAAAACCTCAAAAAAATCATATTTTATTAACAAAATAATCATATTAATTTTGGAATATTTTTGTTATTATTTTTGCCATAATTTTCGCTAATTGCGCCTAAGGAACGTACATGTAAGTGAACGGACTGTAAGAAGAAGATTAAACAAAGCTTCTTATGTCAAGAAGGCCTGCTTCAGGATTACAACTTACTAGGTCTGTTGACTAGGACCGAAAGCAAAGGTATAGTTTTAATGTAAAAATAACGAAAAAATGTTAGTATCTTCTTCAAAAGCGAATATCTCCAATAAAAATAAAGCTATTGAGATGAACCAAAAAACAAACTATCGAGAAAGGATGTATCTAGATGATTTTTAGATCCCTTGTTGTTTTAACATATTCCACAGGGTATTTCAAACTTTCACCAATATATCAATTTTTTTCCCTCGTATAATTGACAGATGTGAACTTTCGTTTTTGATTTAGAAAGATATAATAAAAATTCAAATCATTTAGCTACATACCGCTGAAAAACTCATAAAAATCGACACACTAGAACGAAATATATCAAACTTTAAAATACATCAACATTTTAAGGTGCCCATTTTTCGTGGCGGTGAGTGTATAAAAATTAAACTGTACATCCATGGTCTCCACTTACCGTTGCTGACGACAGGAAAGACAATGTCTGGGATCTGTCCGATTCAGAGAATCTAACAAAAAACGTCGGTTGCAGACTTCTAAACGCAGCATCAGCATAAAACTCAGCCTTACTAACTCTAGAAAAAAAAGAAACAAAACTTTAGAATAAAAGAATCCGAAAAAATATCTCCTCTCCGTAATGTATGTAATATATTTTTCTAAATACAATTTTTCATGTAACAGAATTATCATCCGTCGCTACGGAATAGTATTGAAAAACTTATTTCTTATACAAATAATGAATCAGTGGCCCCCCAAAAAAAATCAGGAGAAAATTAGAAAAAGTTATTTAAATTATACTTTTTGTAAATCACTTTTTTTTTCATCCTAAAATATTCAAAACTATTCCCAATTTGACCAATTTTCGCTTGAAAACATTTTATTTTACCAATTTTCTCTACTGCCGGTCAAAATTTCATTTTGTCCTTCGTTCCCGCTATGTTTTACACGTATTAAACTCCAAGTGCCGCGGCTCGTGACGCCAACAAGGTAAGGTATACTATGTATAGAAAATATAATGTGTTAAGGTGCGATAGATATAGTTTATATTGGCCATTGACCGCGTCATTCATAAAAGGATTTGTAAGGTAGGCAACTTTATATACACTTGTATTTGGTAGTTTACTGACAAACGCGGACGATATAAAAAGTGGCGTTTTTGGGTCTTTATCTAGAAACCAGCGTGTTATTATTGTAATTTGTAATATTGTTTATTAGTTGAGAATCAATATAATTGATTAAGAAATATCGAGTGCACTATTTCTATATGTATAAATATATTACAGGATTTCAGTCATTTAGGCACTTTGGGTATTTATAAAAACTCATTATATAACAATAATTATAAAATAGAAAACAAATTTCTTGCGGTATAGGTATATAATAAAATTATATAAGGATTCTTGCCACTTAATTGCTGATATAGAAATTTAATTCTACGGTGTGTTTGTCATAATGTGGATCAACCTGCTCTCACTACCGGTTTCGGAGCCCTACTCCATCATCAGGTGTGCTTGGGCAGATCAACAAAATGACAACCACAGCGCAGAGATAGTTAATTCCGACTTGTCGGAAAGTGTCGGTTAGATATTCAATCCCGAACGGGAGATAGCGGCCTGCGTGGAATGGTAGTACTTTCGTACCACCGAGGCGCAACTATCGATAGTAAAAAGATGGTAAAAGGGTCTTTTTTAGAAAGACTTCTTTTCAAAAAGCTTTTTACCATCTTTTTACTATCGATAGTTGCGCCTCGGTGGTACGAAAGTACTACCATTGCAGCTACGGCAACTGTAGCTTTGTCATAGTCGAGGGTTTGAGATGCAGCGCGAAATTTGTGTAGGTAATAATTCATAATTTTCTGGTTCTGGATAAATGATGAACTCTTGTTTACTGATTCTGGAATAGATATTTTCAAATATACAACATTATGGTGTTTAGTTTGTAAAATCGTGCGGTTAAAATAAAACAATTTCTTAAATTTCGAAAAACGTTCAGAGAAAGAATTGACTTAAAATATAAAAAATTGTGAAATACAACTTTTAGAAATGTGTATGTGTATATAATATGTATTTATATTTTTGTGACATTGTAACGTTTTTAGTTCGTTACATGTCTTTTTTATATATAATATATGATGTCTGGCCTATCATCACCGGATTCCGTATCGTTCAGGCCTGATAATTTATTTGGCACGCTTGGCGTAATTTTTACGTTCCCTAGTCGCCAACCCTGCTATCGTTTCACTGTTCTGTGGAGGCGCGCGCTGTCAAGATCCTTGTTATATGTCAAGGCGCCTCTCTGCGTTTTAACCTCACTTTGTTTTTGGCCGGTTGCGGCACGGTTGCAAATCCTGCTTTTAAAAATGGCAATTTAAATCTTGTTGCAAAATCTGAATCAGCTGCCATTTCGAAGCTACAGGTAAAGATGAGTTATTATCTTTTATAGATTCGATATTATTATTGAATATTTTTAGGGTAGAGTTTTGGATTGACCCACCTTAACTCGTATTTGTATTTTGCTGACACGTTGGTGTACTTTTGCTGTTGTCCTCCAGAATGTTAAATGGAAGAAAGGACAGTTCTTTTGTTTATTATTGAGCCCTCGGAAGTGTTTCGAGGTAGGTTCATTTTGTTTATCAGACCTTGTTTGATTTTAAACAAGAGTTTCGTATTTTTAGGGTCTTATGGACGGACTATTTACAAGGTACGGGCATTATCCAAGGTCCTAGTAGTATCCAAGGTACGGGTAGTGTTCCCCTGTACCGTTATCTTATGTACGGACTGTGTCCAAGGTTATGGTCCAAGCTTATGGCCCAGGTTACGGACATTATCCAAGATCCTAGTAGTGTTCCAAGGTACGGGTAGTGTCCCCATATTGCCACAGTATGGATACAGCGTAAGCCCCATGCTGCTTCGCTCCCATTTCTAAGCCTAGTCAGTAGCTACGGCTGTATTGATTCATGGTGTCCTCATTCTGGCCCCTTTTGTTGTCTTGGCCAACAGGATCGCCGACAGACAGTACAGAGATATGAGCCCACTTCACGCTCCTACTCTTTGAAACAGGATTGCCTCAAGAACTGCTAAGTGTAGATTTAGGTTCTGGTTTTCAGTCGATTTTCAGTCTTAAACAATAATGTACATCTTAAGTAATATCGTACAGACTATGTTAGATAATATTTAAAATATGATTTAGATCTTAGGTTCTATTACATTACGTCTTGTAATGGTATTACTTTCATAGATATTTAGTACAACTCTTAACACCACTTTCGTTGACATATAACCACTATAATGATTATTAAAATTGTACAATGCTATTTACCATCACAGTCCATCTTGAATAAATATAGTCATTAGTTTTAAGTAATATGCAACTGTGTTTTTTTCTCTGTACATGCCTGGCGCCCAATATCTGTATTTTTTTGTTTATTGTTATTGATTAGTTTTCTCTCTAGTAAAATACCTTACCCACGACTGCTCTCCGATGAAAAGCTGCCGTTCGCAGTGGTAATGTTTTATAAAAAACGCTACAACATTATTATTATTTATAAGTGTCTTTTAAATCCTTTTTGTGTAAAGAACAGTGACTAGATTTTTTGTGAAATAGCACTAGACCATCTGTTTAAAAATGTAAGGGTATGTTTCATTTTAACATAATTTGTATTTATTTTTAGATTTATTTTTCTTTAACTAAACGTACAAGTACCTTGTAAGAAACCAATTAAGTTTGATTGCGTAAAAAAAATCGACGCAATATTTTTAGATATTGACCTCCCTACAATAATATCCACGGGCCGCCACTGTAATGAATGCATCTGTTTTTAAATGTCTTGTGAAAATGGTACAAACTTTTAGTAGTAATTTAATTATTGTTCTATTCAGTCCATTAACATCTATTTTCAAGTACAGTTTTTTTTTCTCAGTGTTTCTGGAGTCTGTAAAATAACCCTGCTAATGAATGATAATGATGGTACAGACTAAGGAAATAAAAGACTTCTTACTAAAATTGAAAAAATACATGGGTATTTTCCCACTGCAAAAGAAATTAGTCGTCAAGTTACAAAACCCGACTTATCCAAAAAAAACTTTGCTTCGATATAATATGCAAAAACTGTTTTAGCAAATGTTTGCAGCGTTATTTTTACAAAAAAAAAACGTGTCCATTCAGTGGAATTATTGTTGTATCTCGTTTTTCTGGAGATGAAAATTAAGATTTAATTTTTAAATTGAAAACCACAAGAATAATTGTGATAAGGCGGGTTTATATAAGATATTTGCATCCTAACTTGATTTATTAGATAATTCTATTTTATTAATATTAGGTAAGGATTTAAAAGGGATAAAACGACAACAGTAATATTATACTTTTGTAAAAAGCCTACGAAGAAATTCGGGATTTGTAACAATAATCACAATAAAAAGCAAATATATGTGGATAAGACGGATTTTGCTGCAGTAACGTAATTTGTAGTGAATTTTATATAAGAATGGGCGATATTTGCTGCAGTGTGGAACTATGTTTATGCAGATTCAGGGTCCACTATTAATTTTTTTAAATGGATAAGGCGGATTTTGCATCTAAGAAACTCTAAAAAAGTTATTTTTTTTGGAAAAATTTGAATATCTGATTAACTTAGTAAGTAAAACATATTTGTATACCAAGGTATGTCGAAATCGGAACCATTGAAGAAAACACAAGTCTTATTCTGTTAAATTCCGATAATTTTGCTTATAGCATGAAGCGATCCCTATATGCGGCAGTTTTGACGGCAGTAATTATATCTGGACTATCTTTTATTAGTAATATATAAAGTTCGCAATGCTTTGCATCATAGTCATAAATTAGAACCTTAAACTACTTCCACTAAATTAATAGAACAGCTAAGATCAGGGGATAAAGATTTGGTGAAAGGCAAACATGAGATTTCCCTAACGGACTATAAAACTTTTGAACGCGGCTTGTTTCATGCAAAACAAAATTAATTAAATTAAAATTAAAGATTAGAATGATATAGATCCGGCAGAACTGGAACCTGGATATAGGTCCATAAAGTTTGATGTAATTCCGTATCCGTCTCTATTAAAATACCATCAGATCTGGAATAATAATACTGGAATAAATTACCTTATCTCTACTGGACACTAGACAGCTGCCTATCTTGCCTTGTGTAAAGCGGCTCTGACAGACTGTCAGCCAATGTTGTCAGAATTGAAGGATTTCCTTCTATATGAAGGATCTACAGTCAAATTTGGTCGATTGAAAAGCTGGAGGTTTTTTTATCCAAAAAGAAAATGAAGGTTTCTGGCAGTTTTGTACAATAAAAATTGTTAAAATATGTACTAGGAGTATTGATTGTTTTTTCTATATCTATTTTTTCACTTTAAGTATGTTTAATTAAGGATAAAGTTAGTAATTCGAAAGATTTAGCATTTAACAAAAAATTAATAGATACATTTTTGCGTCGCGTCCAAAACAAACCTGTGATTGCCTGTGAAGAAAAGTACGCGTGAACATAGTAAAGCGATCTGCTCGCCGCTCTACTATGTATTAGCACCACAGAATATACTAACGAAAAAGA